TAGCGACCACATTCCCCACAAAACGTAGGGCGCATCCAAACGCGAGCCCGCTGCTGGGGGTGAGATGGGACGAGGGCTGCAGGCAGGCTGGCGCACGCGGCACCCGAGCAGCAGGCGGCCGACGGCAGCGCGCAGCAGGCAGCAGCGAGTCACGGACCTGACTGATTTGACTGAAGCCAGAACGTAAGGATTCATTTTTCCTTGTTTTCCTCAAATAGGAAAACAGAGGATCCATTCAAAAGGAAGCTTCCAAGCTATTCCCAATCCTAATGCAAAATGAACCAAGCGTCCACAGAGCAACAGCTTTTTTTCTCCTGTTTCAGCAGAAAAAATTGGAGCTTTGATTTTTCCAGCTGAAAAGGGTAAAGAAAGAAACAAAGAACTCTTGTGATTCTAATAGAACATTAATTATTCTAGGGCTAATCTTTTCTAACATACAAAAATTAGTTCAGTATTGCTAACTACATTAGAGCCAAATTAATTCAGCTATAAAACATGTTTATTTTATGTGATCTGTTTTAAAAAAAACAAATCAGGAGCACAAACACAGCATTTTCGTTTAGCCTCTGTAACGAAACAATAATATCAAATTAAGGAGTAATGAAGGGAAAAGAATGCTGGAAAATAATGCAGTTTATCACCTAATACTTATTCAAAGCCATAAATCTGTACAAAACATGTTATTCCCTAGAAATACTTTTCATTTAACCTTGGATCCAAGTGTAATTGTTGCTACACAATTCACATAATTTAAACAAGGGGAAAAAAAAATGTACGTACTGAGATTTCTTTGTATCCCACAGCTGAACGGCATTCCAGGCAGTCACATGCCCACTTCCAACTACTTCCCCCACTTTAAGTTCCTTTTAGAAAGAAACGTTGAAGAGGCTGAAAACAGTTTTTAGGCATAAGGCATCCGAACACTTTGAAACACTTAATCTTTTATTAATTGACATTCTCACGTACACCAAGGAGAGGTAATCCTCTCAGGGCCGCTCCGGCAGAAGGGTAGAAAAACCACCGCGCTCCCGGTCGGAGGGGCCTTCGCTACACGGAACTATTGGTGCTGCATCCCCTCAGACACAAACCACAACCTCCCCTCAACGCCTGAACGCAAAATTTTTCTAAGGGGAATGGCAACACGTTAGAAATAAGTCTGTGGTCTTATTCATGGTTCTACTCACAAAACCTCCTTCTGATGTCCGCTGCCAACAAACACTCTGTTTGCCACAGAAGAGAGGAATGGTTTATCTAAAGAACGGAGGAAAGCTGACAGTAATTTACATATCCACATATTTTCTTGTGTAGATTTGGAACTAGTACATTCATTTAAAATCGCTTAAAATTTCACAAAGGACAAGTAAGCAAGTTTATTCTCTAGTACCATGCAGCAGAGGATTTCTACTCCCAGGCATTTTATTCTTTACCTGGTATGTCGCAGCTGCCTAACGCGTTTGTATAAAGTCTTTGTTACTCCTCCTACAGGATACTACAGGAGAGCAAGGCTAGAGGGAAGCCTGAGCTTTAGATGTGCGTCAGGCAGCCGCTTATCCTTAAATGTGTTAGCATCCCGAGGCTGCTGGATGAATTTAATGGTCAGGAGCAAGAGAAGGTGGCAATGGCAAATGTTTGCTCACCGGCGCAGAGTACGCTGCAGGCACAAGAAGGGTTTTCCGCATGCTTCACACTGGTGTAAACACAACAAAAAACGTCATTGCAGTTGCTCATCGCTGGCAGACTGCGTTATTTCACTCATTAAGGCACAGCCCTATATACACCCATATCTAGGCCTGATTGAGACGCACGGACTGCGTAGAGCCATCGTGAACCTGACGTGGACAGTGCTGCTCAAAATTAACTCCTGTGATGGATGGCCTGGAGTTTTTGCCTGAATAAAACCTTATTCTATGTGAACTTGGATTTTTTGGGGGTTTTGTTTGGTGGGAGTTTTTTGTTGGTTGGTTGGGTTTTTTCCCAGTAATAGAGTCTCCTACTTTGCTTTCTGAGTGGCTTGACAGGTATCCAGTTTTTAACTGTTCTGGGTGGCTGGACAGGTATCCAGTCCAGTTTTTTTGTGGGTGGCTTGACAGGTATCCAGTTTTTAACTGTTCTGTCTTGGTGATGAGCACTAGGTAGGTCGGGGCTTTTTTGTTTACTTTTATTTTGCCTGACCGTTATCTGACTGAAGGAGAAATGTAGAAAGAAAAATTGTAAAAAAGAAAGGAAAATTGATGCATAACGATAATTACAGATTAAATATTAACCCACCGTAGTCAGTACAAAGAGGTTTTTCTGCTGACACACACACACTCATGAGGGTTAATCCAATTCTGTCAGAGTCAACATGACTGATTCCCAATTCACTACTTGTGAAACCATTTATAAAAAATTTCAGGCAGTTTTCTAGTTGTTTGGTGTTTATCAAAATCCTTTCCTGTACCAATTATAACCATATTCTCAGATTTCTATTAATTCTTTTATAAATGTACACATTTTCACTGCTGACACATTAATAAACAATATTTAAAAGCTTAAAAAGCTGCACACTGCTTATGAGTACCTGCTATTCGACAAGAAAGGCTGATAAAAGTATTATAGAAATAATGGCATTTCACACAATGGTTAGTGACAATGAGAAAAATATACACAAGGTCTTGCAAATCCACTGTCAAAACCAACTGAGGGACTGTAATAAAAAGCATATTCAAAAGTTTCAATAGCATTAAGTTTATGTTCTTCTTCCTTAACAGCTATTTATAATTCATGTTTTAGAAGTCAGAATACATACAGCCTCAGCTTTAAAAGGACACTCCTCAGAATTTATATGAGCTGATTTGTGTCCAGGAGCACATGAATATTAAGTGCTTTGGTTTAGCAATAAGCCTATTTAAGTGGCCAATTACTCCACAGAAGCATGAGGTGTAGAAAACCAAAATATGTTTATTTTTAAAAGTACACGTACATGGCTCTGTTTTCAAAAAAAAAAAAAAAAGCACCTGTATGAAAACTGGTGTCTTCACAAAAATAAAGTTTTAAAAAAGAACCATTATTACTACACCTCACTCCCAGAAAAAGGATTTTACAATGTTTGCAAGTAGAGAAAAACACAACCAATCTGGGTTTTCAGCCCAGAAATCTGACAGCTCATTAACATTCAAATTTTCTTTCAGTGTGGTTAAAAAACAAAGTGATAGAACCTGAGCAATTTTTGAGCCTCCTGCTTCTCTGCTTTCTATCACTGAAGGAATATGATCCATTTTTTCAATATCCCACAGTCTCAAAGTAGAATCCTGAGAAAAAAGATGCAATTATTTTGATGTAGCTGCCTTTTGCCAACAGTGATTAACATCGTTTCCATAAGGATGAAATCTCATCCTATCAGATGAACCCTCTCAACATGAGACCTAAACTGGTTCACATTTAAATATCATGTCTTTGGAAACAATCTTCACCAATCTTAAAACTGCCTGCACATTTTAAAATAACCAAAAATAAACACACTGAGCAAATTCTTTTAAAGATTTTCTGTAATTACTTGAGGCACATACCAATTACAACTTAGCACTTTTATGAACAACTTCACCATTGTTCAATTTAATCCGAAAATAAAAGCGGGAAATAAGGGCTGAAATTTTTACATTCATTTATAAGTTAGCTCCTGAAACCACATCAGGAATTTGTGATTACCTTTGAGGCTGAAAAAATCCATTTCTTGGTTTTGCTAATTGCAACATCTGTAACCCAGTCCGGGTGACCCTAAAGTAAAGCAAAATTTAACTATAAAAGCAGGAAAAAAGCTTTATTATTTTTATTATAATAAAAACCCTATTTGTACCATAAATCCATTATGAAATGCAGTGAGAAAATTCTTATCTAGACTGCCTCATGTCCAGCCATGAAGAAATGTTGTAGTAAAGGTCATACTTACAACCTGAAAACAGCGGCTCTCACAACCCCTGGTAACCAGACCACCAGCTGCAGCACTCGGAACAACAGCTACGGTTACCATGGGTTTAAGCTCCATTTAAACATAGGTATTTTCTATTTTTTAAACAGTTCGGTGAATAATTGTAAAGAGAAAGTTAACTTCTAATACTCATTACCCAAAAAATGAGGCTTGAGGCTGTTTATCCTGTGATAGTTGAGGGAAGAGCTGTGGGAAGAGAGAGCAGCTTCCCCCCGTTTAGGGGAAGGACACCAATTCTGAGGGGGCCAAGTCGAGCAGCTGGGTGGGATATCCACACTCTGAGAGCAGCACACCTGATTTGAGGTTAACAGCACTGAGCTGGCCTGAGACAGAAACGGATTAAAATCTAAAATGAATGCTTTATTCCAGCTAGGGAATGCGAATACCGAGCGGCACTGACAGATAAAATTCCCAGAGTTTAGGAAGGCATGGTGTCACTCTGACAGACAAATGGCACACCTGAGAAATACAATAAAAAAATGAACATGTATTTTTCCAGCACAGAGTTGTGGTCAAACACGCAAACATAAAACGTAGGGTTTATAGAAGAATCTTTAAAACATGTTTTTTAATTTAGTTATGGGCCTAGAATGTAATTACACCAAGGCACGGATACCAAACTGGAATTCTCCATAGTTACAAAGATATTAGCATTTAAACAGATGCCTTTTTAATGGGACACTGAGTTACTTTCAGTGACTGCAGCGCACTGGGAAGCATGCAGTAGCCATATTACGTAAAGCACCGATATGGGTGGAGAACGTGTACAGTCACTGCTTCAAAGGTTTATTCGGTGCAGTTCCAGTTCCGGAGGGCAGGTCAGCTCACATTTAAGGTACCGGGTGTGAGGCACAGGCTTAGCCCTCCTGTATGAAGATGCTGTCTTGAACATGACAGCAGTTGAAAGCTGTTTTTAAGCCCGAGGATTTGAAGGAAAGTGGTCTTTTCTGAGATCTCCAAGGTGGGTTTGTTCATGAGCGTTTTAACTTGCAAACATTCGAGTATCATACAGCCTTGAATAGCGTATGCAGTAAGTAAAATAAAAGTTCATTAAAACCATATTTTCATAAAATAGGGAAAAGCCAAGGTTGCAGATCTGAACTCTGACACCGCGTCATAGAATCACAGGATGGGTTGGGTTGGAAGGGACCTTAAAGACCATCCAGTCCCAACCCCCCTGCCATGGGCAGGGACACCTTCCACTAGACCAGGTTGCTCCAAGCCTCATCCAGCCTGGCCTTGGACACTTCCAGGGAGGGGGCATCCACAGCTTCTCTGGGCAACCTGTCCCAGTGCCTCCCCACCCTCTCCGGGAAGAACTTCTTCCTGATATCCAATCTAAACTTCCCCACTTTCAATTTAAACCCGTTACCCCTTGTCCTGTCACTACAGGCCCTTGTAAACTCCCAGCTTCCTTGTAGGCCCTTCAGGTTGGCATACCTGCCTGGCTTCTGTGAAAGGAACATCTGCAGAATGCATGCACCTAACTTTATAAATACTGTTAATCCTTTCCTCTGACCCACGTCTGATCATTACTTTGTTAATTCTTTCCTCTGACCCACATCTGATCATTAGCTCAAGTCTTGCGGATGGTTTCCAGTAAAACAAGAAATAAAATGTATCATAATGCAATATGCAATTGCAACAAATAAAGTCCTGAGGGCACAAAAAACCCTACTGAGATTTGGATCTTTTTTCTTTTTGTATGCAGCTATTACTCACCGCCTCGGTTTTTGGGTAGTGTTACCATGGGTATGGAAGAAAAGAGGAGGCCTAGCTCTGAGCAGGGACAGCTAAATACTGAACAGCTCCCTCCTTTACAGAACGCTCCATCCTAAAAAGGACGGTACCAGGGTGGACCTCATCCTGTCACTATAAGCAATAAGGTAAACTACGTCCTAGGCACTGAGCTAAGCTTGGCAGCCTCAACACCAATATTTAAATGTTTTTGAATGCTGCCCTTTTAATGCAGTGTTTTCTGTGGGCGTAAGCAAGCAGGTGAACATGCCGATGTCTACCTACAGAGTGTGGCATTTCAGAGTGAACATCTGCACTATCCAGGCTCTTGTTACTTGCTGAAAGAAACTCTCTCCTAAAACACAGGTACAACTCCATCCCATATAATCCTTAAAAGAGCTTGTTTGTAAAAAGAGAAATGTTGATAGCTTATTAACAACTGACTCGACAAGGTAATAACTTTGTAGCTAATTGTGTAAGAATATACTATTCTAGGAAATTAAATCACAGAAATCCAGGATATATTCCTGCCTCTATCTAAAAAGGACAGGCAAGGGTATTGGTCAGATAATGAAATACACAATGCTTTTAAACCAGCAAAACATTTTACACCTTTGCATCAAACTTGTGACCAAGTAAGAGCTCAGTACCTTTAAGCTTAGCTTTTTGCAGCCTGCCTCTGTATCCCACATAACTATAGTTTTGTCATATCCGCCAGATACAAGTGATGCTGAAATATAAAATCAGAAAACTGTATCTTATCTTTCCTTTGCCATACAGACTAGTTAAAGAGGCTCCTTCTAACAGTGAGCCAGACTTTATTTAAAAAATTTAAATAACGAGCTATTAGTCATGCCTTAACGAGATAGTAGAATTTCCTTTCGGTTACTTGTTCTTAACGTTCTTAATTTTGTAAATATTAATACATAAATTTAGCAAACACACAACTGAGTGGAAAAAATACCCCATACATGAAAATTTGGTTGACTTGCAAAAGAAAACAGCCAATTAGATGACAATGTACAACGTTAATTGGTGTTAGTCCATCCCAGTGAAGAGAAGCTGTTTCAGTGCAGCAGCAGTTTGCAGTAACACTGCTTTCATGTGGTGGAGGGACTAGGAGTAGTCTGTGATCTAGTCAAGGTAATGGAACTAGGGCAGTAAGAAACTGCTCCCCACTACATCCACTCACGTGCAGGTAAGCTGGGAAGTCTGGTTTTGCCTCCTATTCTCCTCCTATTCATCAAAACATCAGACACATCAAGTGCCAGGTGCCAACTTGTCTTGCTCTAACAGCATCAACTACTTTGAACATGGTAGTTCATGTGCTCCACCACTGTCGCTGAGAATATCCATGAAGTTTTTCAGAAGTACACTGCTAGCTTACATCGTTTGGAGTGTGAAGTAACATTACTTTTGGGGGTACTAACAAAGACATACACATTTTCCTATTTATTACAGATCAGTACAGTGTTTACTGAATGTGTTTTTCAATTAACTAATGTTAGGAGAATATCCGCAAGTGATACGTTAATCTTCTAACAGAGTATAGTGCTTTTACTCCTTTATGAACTTTTTATCATACCTCTTGATGGGTGTATCGGTTAAGCAAGTGTTCCAGTTGCCTGGTTAAAACAGAACACAGACCATCAACTTCAATTTACTTATTTACGTGAACATCATTTTCTCAAAATTAAACATGTTATCTTGGAAATGATGAATTAACTACCTGCATGGTTAGAGTGGTCACTCGTGGTTCATCCGAGATGCCCTATACACAGGTACTGAGATACATCATGCACTAGCATGAAGATAACTCACCGTCTTGGCTAAAAAGACAGGAACTAACAGAACCTTCATGTCCTTGGTTCAGGGAAATGGGTTCGCGACATTGAAATTCTCCTGTCTTTATGTCCCATATTTTTAAGCTTTTGTCCCAGGATGCTGTGCACAAGAAACGACCATCAGAGGTAAAGCAGCAGTCTGAGATAGCATTGCTGTGTGCCCTGAAACACAGACAAGTGACAAGTGACCAGCTATGTGGGGTTTTTTGTTGAACACAGTTTAACAAGAAATTGCTTAGCAGCTACACCACCACCACACTTTACTGAAGTTACCAAACAAAGCCACCCATTTTTCATTCAATAAACAGTACACATTTCAACTCAAACAGGTAAATTTCAACTCAAACATTCAGAGGATGGATTAAACAATTCCACATTAAAGTAATTTTGGAAGCAGTGATACCCATCAGAAGAGAAATCTGGATGTTCCAGGACTGGGTGAGGATGTTAGTGCTTCCTGAAATCTACAGTGGAGAAAGGATTATGAGCATCTCTTACAGGAAACCGTGCTGTAGTCACTGCGATTTAAAAGAAACATTACTATGTTGCAGATTGAATTTCCTACCCAAAGTAATTCCCAATCCCTCCAAGACAATTTTATAACCGTGTTTAAAGGCAGACTCTCTCTCTGATTATTGTTTTAAGAATTCAAAGCTAAATTGGTAGAGTTTATTTGAAGCCATTGATATTTTTAATGGTTGATTTGACATGTCTATTGTTACATGCTTCCTTCTTAAAACAATAACAATATCCTAAATTGACATAATGTTTTTTACTGTATTACTGACTTCAGTGAGAGATATGAGAGGTTAGCACGTGAGAGCTCAGGAGACCATAGTGTGCAAGGCTTCTGGCACTGGGCCAGCCTTCTCCAAAAGCATCTATGGGAAAATGGTCTGGAAAAACAATCTCAGAGTGTGGCCCTCACTGGTTGACTGTGAAAATGAAAGTACATATTGAGCTGGGGTCCACAGCATCTGTCCTGAATCCAGTCCTGTTTCCTCCTGCCATTAATGTAGATAATGAGATACAGATACAAAAGGCTCTGCAGTTGTACAAGGGAGAAGATTAAAATTCAAAACTATCTTCACAAACTGAAGAAATCATCAAGAAAATAGAAGAGTTATAACAGTCTGTACAGAGGACAGTGCTGTCATCACTGCGGTTTGTAGGAGTGTTACAGTGTTTAATTAATTATCTAATGCACATGCTGCCTGATCAGGTCAATTTTGTCAAGTCTGACATTCTGCACAGATAAGGGGTGGGAACAAAGGACGTTATCACAGTTCTGCATAAAAGGGATTCAACATATACTGACTCCTCTTCACCACCATGCTGCCAAAAAAGAGTGAATCTCATCACAGGATGTCTGAACAGAGGCAGGTCCGCAGAGGAGCATGTTTTTTTCCAGGTAGAGGGAATACTGTTTACCTTATGGGGCCACATGATTCAAGAAAAATGTGGGCCAGCTGGAAAGATCTCAGAGGTCAACAACAAGAATGATCAGTAAAATAGGAAATAATTAAATTCTTAATGAATGCGGATGTTTAACCTACTGAAAAGATGACTCAGCAGTATAATGGAAGTGCTTGGACATATATGAAACTGTAGAAGAACACAAGGGAATAATCTGATCTCCGTGTCTGCAGGGGATCTAAACAGAAACGTGTGAGCTTAAGCTGCAGTCCACATACTCCACCTTAGGAAAATCTTTGGAATGATTAACACAGTGAGGCAACACAACAGATTTTTTGGAAGTCTGTGAGGTCTTCACTGGGGCTCTTCAGGAGCAGAGTAGATCATCCTGTGGTTGCTCTGAGGCCCATGAATTTTATGACGAGCTAAGGTGATCTGGTTGCAGTGCAAAACCTAATTATCACAAAATGTTCTGCAAGAACTCATGATTAATTATCAACTCCCAACATCTAGATCTATTTTCTCCTTTTCCACTGTATTATTTTTTCCTCACTCCATAATATTTTTAAAGACTTCACTATTCCACATGATAGTAGATCTCCTCATTCATCAATGATCATACATTTTTCCTAATTAGTAGAAATTAGAACAAGAAGTTTACACTGCAGTACCATATTGTGTATGCGACCTTCTGCCTCCACACATACCCAAGAACCTTGAAGCTCTACAAAAAATGCACTAGAAATGCTTACAGTCATCAAAATACAATTTTTCAGTTATTTACAGCAGGACCCTTGAGTGGACCATTTTATTCATGCTTTCTATATATGCCATTTGCTTGCATGTTACTTTAGTTAACAATTATTATCCATTTTCTCTAGTACAAACGTTAGCATAAATGTCACTGATAATTGTGAAAGATGCAAATAATGCCATGCATGATTAACTCTAGTATTGTTTCTTACTCATTAATTGTAATAGAGGTGGATCGCATTATCATATTCCACAGCTTTATTGTCTTATCATACGATACTGAAGTCACTCTTTGGACATCAGGGTCAAAACAACATCTTGTGATTGTACTTTTGTGATGACCTATACAAAAACCAGCAAGTGAGACCATTAGTTATGTTAAATAATTACACCTGCATCCCAGAACACAGGTCAGAAAGGCAGAACTACCTATAGCGCCTACGCATCGGTATTTCTAAAACACAGGAATTTCCAAATTGCTTTTTCACTGGCTAGGATACCTGCTCACCTACCTCTCGCTGAAAGAGGCCTCCTAATTACTGCAGACAGTACGAATATGAACCTGAACACAGGCACTCAACATCCACAGTTAACGTAAGTTCACATGCTGTCCTGTAGTAACTTATTTCTCTGTACCATTCCCAAAAACAAGTCTGGAAGTGTGGCCCCATAATGCCAATGACAGTGAACTACTCAGACTCCTAGGGAGCACTGCAGCAGGTAGTTAAACTTTAAAAATGCAAGTAACTCCATTAAAATGATGTCAAGAAAGTATGTCCTCACAGTGTCACCTAACAGAGGCAGTGCTAATGAAGCTACTCCGATCCATTCGTTGCACTTCTTATTTTTAAACCCAAATTATTTTACCATCAGGCTCTGACACAAGGGAGCACGTTAACCATATGCTGCTTTAACATTTGTAAGACTGCTCAAATATTTAGAAGGCCATTCTGCAGGAATGGCAAACTCCCTGGCCTGCAGTCCTGAGTGGAAGCCCCTTGGGACGGAGTCCTCACTAGTGACATTACCTTCCAAGGGTCAAGGTATATTTCAAAAAAGAATCACTGTTGGCCTAATTTTGGCCCATTATCTCCTTTTTATAAGCCTATCCTGGAAAACACTGGGTTTAATGTCTTGCAGATAAGTTTCTTCTGCCTTTCGCAGGTAAGGATATTTGAACTGAATTAATTTATTTTCTCAAATTAAATAAAGACATTTTTAAAAAATCAAGAGCTGCATAAACATGATGTAAGTCGTAAGTCTTACCTTGGGTACGTGCCACTACCGCTGCACTCACTGCATCAAAAACATACATGGCATTTTCTTTGTCTGAACCAGACACCACATATTTATCATCACAAGAAATATTACATGAAGTTACAATACATTCATGTTCTACTGTCCACTAAAGAGAAAAAAAGAGGTTTTAGAAACATGCCTGAGGGTTAGAGAAAGTTTTCCAGCAGATTTTCTATAATCAGGTTCAGAAAGAAGGGTTTGATATTACTTTGTTTAGGTGAAAGCTGATAGATATCTTTATACACATTGTTTCTATTTCTGCATTAGCAATAAACTCAAAATTAGACAAGGCCACCCTGTTCAGATCCTAAAATCAATCTTAAATGTATCTTCCGAGATGAGTCATTATTATCATACCCACTTGTATCTGAAATAACTGAGATGTGTTCATCAAGAGATTTATCCAAGAATAAGCAATTATCAGTACCCAAACCAGGACTAAAAATCAAGCCTACCTACTCTAACTATGTTGTATTGTGCCAATAAAGCATGTTTTGTTTTCTTATTTATCAACAACAAAGCAGTTAATCTGAATTTTATAGCTGTCCCTTCTGCAAGACGCATTCAAAAGCATACATACAAGCGTCTTGCCTGTTTCCATATCCCAGGCCTTGACAGTCTTGTCACACGACAATGTTACCACTCTCAAAATGATATCGGTGAAAACAGCAATCAATGTTTTCACATAAAAGAAAGCAAATGACAGCACTTAATTCTGACAGTGATTTGACATCCTCACACATACTAATTTAAAATAGACTTTTAAAGGCTACAGCAAAAATTATTGCATAGCTTAGTTAACAAGTATTTTTATTTATATTTCAGATAGCAACTAATCGTAAAAATGCCATATATATAATTTTGAGTGCAAGCAGTCAACTCAATTTCAATTCACCCATTACAGGATATTTAATTATTTTCAACGTTAGAATAATTCTAAAGCCATTACGATGTCTTTTCTTTAATGAATGTAAAGTGTTCTTGTCAGTAGGGTTTTCTGGATTTTCGGCGGTTATGTTGCTGGGTAACCCTTCACCACAAACTCTGCTCTGCACAAACACAAAGCCACATGAGACAACCAAGCTATTCAATAAAGTTTACTAAAACTGGCAGGTTTCCATGAAATGGGAGGTCAAAAATTTTTCCCTCACAGTTATTAAAATATTCACAAATATGTAAAGTAATATCTATATTGAATGTCACTTGATGTAACAAATATTTTTAGTACCACTGTGGCTCTTTGTTTTGATGAAGTTCATAAGCTTTCACTTTCATACATTTTGCCCAAGAAACTTGATGCATTGAGATTCTAACAATGAACAATACAATCAGATTATTAAGAGGTTTTCATTCTCTCCCTATGTGCATACTTCCCGCAACCAACACAACCTCTTCTCCTAAACAGAAACAGGTAATGCAGAAGGCCACATGAAGTTCATGAACTGGTCCCATTTTTGATTGGGAAGTGGTTTCCATGGCCGTACACAACGGCGGTTTACTTACTGTTCAGCAATTGTCAAAACCATAGACGACTGCAGTACGCAGCATAGCATGTGCTCTACTCCGTGATCAAAAACCTAATCAGTCAACTCCACCATCTGACAAAAATTGATTTCAATTGTGACTTAATGATGAAATATGCCAGAAATAGCACCCCTGGAGGCACTACATGACCTACTTAACCGATTGTTAATATATGCCGCAGTTTTAATTATGATGTCCACAGACTGACACGAGGTTAAGATGCATTTCTTCTATAATTGACAAGACAGCCTTAATGGAAAGGCTATGGAATATTAATAAACGATACAGACAGAAGAGAACCTTTATGAAGGTATAAATCTGACAGATGAACCCCTGAACAATGTTGGTTCTTTATACAAATGATATATATTTATATACATATGGCAAAGACAGATTTCCAGCCCTGAGGAACTCAAAAACAGTATTAGACAACTCCTTTGCCCTAAAAGAGACCATAATCTATCAGACACTATTGCAATATGCATTTAAGACAATAAAATTATTTCTGTTTAATTCATCTGACATCACATGCAAAACAGAAAAGATTTAAGACCTCCTGTATAAACAGTAGGTGAGAACAAGGTGAGATTTATGCTAGTTCACGTGGATGAAGGAGTCTGGCAGTATGCCCTGAAACTGAACCTTGAAATCACAGAAAACTTTTTTTTTTTAATAAATGAAGATAGAAAATGGTCACCTTCTGTCATCAGGCGTCAAGTTGCACTCAGAAATCGGGGCGGTGTGTTCTTCAAATACTTCAATAGGACACCCTTTCTCAACATCCTTGAATAAATCCAAATGAGTTTGATTAGGAAGTGCTTCGCTACATTGTAAAAAAAAATACAGAGCATCACAAAATAAGGGAAAACAAAACTTGTGAAATCAGTAAAGTTAACTAACTCTATTCCTACTTTTGATTTCAAGACTGACTGAAACAGAGTTCTTCACCTATCACACCCAGACTTCGATTTGTCCCCTTCCCATCACAACAGTTTTCACCAGAAATTTCTTGCAAAAGAGTTCTCTCAGACCGTCACACCCATGCCCATAACTAAATCCTGGCAAGTGTTTCTTCACACATGGATCTGTGGCTTTCCATTTCGACTGGCAGAGTTCAAATGCGCGCTCGCAAGGCCTGCTGTCCCTGTACCGATTATCCCTACCTCGTTGTCGTCACAAGTGCAGTCTCCCCTGCTCCTATCCACGCGCAGTGCCCTTCCACAGATTTTCTTTTACTCTCTGTATTATGTTATGCCCTCTGGGTTCCTTCGCTGACTCCTCATTCCCAGTCACAAATACAAGCCTCCTGTCTCCAAATACAAAGATCTTTGTGATTTACCCCCAGACATCACCTCCCTTCTGCCCCACCTCTGATGCCAGCCTCTGTCACTCAGTGGTTAGTTTTTCAAAATTTACGAGTTTCTCTTTACTCTCCTTCATGTTTTGAAGAAGTTGGCTATAAATACCTGGAAATCTCATAATACAAAACTCTTCTTCAATTTCTGTTTTGTGGTTCCTACAACCCAAGTACTGAGATGATGACCCATACTGCGTTACTGGTTCATTTGTATTACACCATCAACTTCTACCTAGTCTCTTACACAGAGAGGTTTAAGTGATTTCAGTACGGCACTACCTTGTAACATGCATGATGTTCAAAGTACAGTGCAGTCCTAAGGAGCAAAGCCTTGAGGTTCTTTAGTAATGTAAATGAAACTATGAATCAAGTTTTACAAACGGATCATGATGCCTGACTGTAAACATCACAACCAAAAAACCAGCAGGCCTGCAAAGTTATCACAGGATCAGTCATCATACCTTCATCTAGGTAAGTAATCTTCTATTTCCATGATTAATCCAATTATTTCAATTAGATTTGCATTTGTGCAAGTATCAAGAGGTCTCAGAATCAATCTGGAAGCAGGCAACAAACTCCCTTCACTGCCCCATCCCTGGAAGTGTCCAAGGCCAGGCTGGATGAGGCTTGGAGCAACTTGGTCTAGTGGAAGGTGTCCCTACCCATGGCAGGGGGGTTGGAACTGGATGGTCTTTAAGGTCCCTTCCAACCCAAACCATTCTATGGTTCTGTGACTGTGCATGTCTTCTGTCATTTGTCTTCAATATACAATTAAAATCTTGCACTCCTGACTATTCCTCCCCTTCTTAACATCAGCTGTGAAGTCTCAGATCCAGAGCTGCTTCCTTACGAGGACTTTACTCGCAGGAGCTGTCCTGCTAACTCGGCAGCTCTCGGTAACAGACAAAAGTGGTGTGAAAGTAAATTTATTTATCGCTTTTTCACTGATTTTCTGAATGTGTGTCCATGCACTACAGGCCTAACAACTGCCACTAGGATCATTAGGAATGTCTCTAAGAGAGAAGAAAAAAACACAGTTTGAAGTTACCATATGTTCTTGTTCTGTTTTTCTGAGCCAAAAAGCCTTGCAGTTACAACTGCCCGTCTAGACTTACTCATCTGTCTGCTGCGTGCCCTACTCATCTTTTGTTTTCCAAAAAGCTGTGGACTGTCAGCGAGATACTGTATGTTCTCAAGAGGAACTTTGAATGCTTTCTCACTCCACTCAATCATTTGATATCTACCCTTTCAAAGGGAAAAAAAAGAGAAGTCCAAAGTGAAACTGGCCTGCCCCGGTCTCACCAAGTCCTCCCTACTCTCCCAAATGCTGATTGCTTTGGCTGTTCCTGCAGAGGAGGAGATCAGGCTTATCCAGACAAAATTAAGCTTGTCAAAATAAATTAACATAATCTTGTCTGTACACCGCTATCAGAATGTTCCCAACACTCAGGCAAATACCTGGAGATAGATTCTGAAAACCATGTATCGCTCAACAAGTGGGGAATAGATCTTTGTGTGACAAAAGTTACAAAGATAACATTTCTGGAGCAGATTAAGCCTTCCACACTTCAGGCAACAGGCACACTATATCCTTTCCAGCAAAAAGAACATCCATAGACATGCTGTGCTTAAAAAAAATAATGGATTATCTAATTTTTGTAATACAAATTTACTGTATAGTAATTGATTTCCACTTACGTGTAAGACTGCTGAGTAACATTTCACTAGAGACAGCAAAATTCAGGCTCCAGTTCTGAGTTCAGACAAAGTAGGAAAGTTTGGAACTATCAATCTGACAGTTACTAAACTGTAAGTGTCATGACCAACATCCTGAGATACACTTACTTTTATTTCTCCCATCTACAGTATTTGCTTAAGATCTCCACGTGTTTATTCACTCTGGAACTCATCATTCAAAGACGGGAATTCTTTTATCCTAGACTTCCTCATTTCTTGGACCTAGCTCCTGGATAGCGTAAGGGTGCCAACCTGCAAACTGCCTAGACTTTTTACACTTTTGGGATGCAGTACATTTGAAAAAAATATTTGTATTATGGTAGGAACTGCACTGGTAAGAAGTCAGCACTGTAGATCCTGCAAAAAATTAACTTCACCTGTATTGGCATCATATAAAGGCATTACCATAACTCATGAGGAATTCTTGAGTCAAGTCATGCCTGTTGAATGCATGCCACATCTCAAGGCCTGCAATCTATGTAGCGCAGCTGCACTGTCACTCGTTTGCATAAAATTCAGGGGCTCGCGTAACTCTCCGTCTCCAAGCTATCTTTTAGATTAAATTACCCAGAACCCGTACACTTCCCCAGTTCAGATCTCAACATTGCCCTGCACAGGAATTACAGGGAAATTCCCTGGAATTACAGGGAAACCCCAGCTAACTACACAAAACTTGGAGGAGCAAGAAAATAAAAGGTGCAAATCAAAATTTAAATAAAGAGCAAGTGACAAGTATGAAAACACCATGGTCATGCTCTGTGATCCCTAACTGCTACGCCTCCTCCACAGCCATATACATAAACAAGTCGGAAAAAGGAACTTTCAGGAGAAAAAGAGAAAAAAAGCTTTCTGTATCAACAGTTCTAAAATATTAATTAACTAGAGCACTGCTTCAGTGTATGCTACGTATGCTTACAAGGGTCACCCTTTAACGCCACAGAGTATGTCTGAAGTATGAAATAGGTTTTCTATTTGTGACTGCAAAAACATGTACAGCTGCTACGTTTAAACTTCAGTAAAGTATCTTCAGAAGGCTCCCTGATGATTCAGTCAATTTTCATATGCCTATATAACATTCCTGTTTGATTTCAGCTTTAAGATGTTTTGGGTTTGGCACTGTTGTGTTCAAACATACCTAGAGCTTCACTGTTCTGTCGTAAGAGCATGAGAGTATTTTTGTGTCTTCGAAGCAAAAATGGCAGGAGCTCACGGTATCACTGTGTCCTCTCAGAATTTTAAATTGGACCTGTAAGGGAACAGAGCAAGGTTTAAGAATATGTTTTTGGAATGGTTTTGATGGCTTAGCCCACAATGGGGGAGTGTGACAGCAGCAAGAGTGTGAAGTTCCATTCCTCTCCTTGGTACTACCTTGGAGCAGATTGACCAAATCTGGTTGAGAAAGAAAGGCAGAGAGATGTGGATTTTATTTTTCTGGAGCGGAAGTAAGTTTGGTTTGGTTTTCCAATTCTTCTTCCTCTCATGAAAAGTACTATTTATCTTTAAACCTCACCAAGTCTCTCTCTCAAACACTTTTTTCTTGACTGTGGCCCATCCAAGGGCAGCACATCAAGCTCTCGGGTCACACCTTTTAGTCAAGACCACTACAAATTCTGTCGAGGTATTTTGAGAAGGCTTTTCTTCGCCCACTGAGGAATTTGCTCCGAACTGTCCTGCATGCGTTTGCATGAACAGAGTTAACAAAAACCCAGCTGCCGTGAGCATTAAGCACATGTGAAGTGACAGAGGGCTTTTCAACCCTTCAGCTCCCCCACTACCGGCAGGAACAGAGCCCGGCCTGTCCCGGCCGTCCACGCCTGCCCAGGCCTGGCCCTCGCTCCCCAGCCTACCTGGGCCGACGGCTCATGGTTGCCGCAGAG